AAAAAAAAAAAAAAAAAAAAAAAAGGGGGGGGGGGAAAAAAGGGAGGGGGGAGGACAAAAAATTTTTTGGGGTTTGGGGGGGGATTTAAATGGAATTAAAATCCTTTTTAGCGCATGGAAAATATATGGAAATTAAAAAACATTGGGGAAAAAAGTGAAATTAAAAATAAATGGGAATATGTAAAATGGCAGATGAGATTAATTGTTTTGTGAAATGTGGCCCCGACGGATGGCCCTTTGAGAATTGTTTTATTGAATTTTGTGATTTTACAAACAGGTGGGTTCAGTCCAATTTGAAGGGGAGATTCTTGCCAGATATTTTGATAGAATTCTTTGTATATAGAGTCTAAGTAATAATACACAAGTTATTTTAACTTGATTCTAGTTATTATAAACAGTCTTCTTGTTTTCTATTAATTTTCCTCTAAACTTGTTCGGCATCCTTTCCCTCTAAAACAATACATAAATAAAGAGTTGATAATTCTAACCGGTAACTGGTTATAAGGTGCTTTTTGGGATTGAAGTAAAACTACTTCATTTACATGACGTTTATCTTACAGCATTAGCATAATTCTTCTCATTTCTCTTCTTCCCATCTCCCTTCTCTAGCGTGACAGTTGATCAATGGTCCCTCGAGTCGACTTCACACCAGGGTTCGTCCCGCTTTTGGTTTTCCAGTTTTCCTTCCCCTCCATTATCCTCTCTTTTTCAATTTGGTTGCAAATTTTATTTTCGTCCTTCGACTAGCCGCACATTTTTTTTCTCCATTTGACATTTTTCTAATTTTTTTTCAATTATTCGAATTTCTAGGTTACAGGTTCAGAATGGCAAGATTCCTTTCTTGCTAATTTCCATCATAACAGAAGGAAGGAGAGCGTAACCCAAAAAGGAAAAAGGCTCAGTCAATATCGTAGCAAAACATATGCTTCTCCATTTAAAATTTTACCTCAGTTATGTTTCAATCTGTTTTTAACTTGCTTGAAATATACTTTTTCTTTTTCCTTTCTCAGGAAAGAATGTTGTCTGGGCTTATAAATCCCAATCAATAGTTTTATGAAAAAAGGAGAGTGGATTCGACGTGGTCCTTACCTGATGCCTGATGAGTATGCTGTTCGAGCCCAATTTTGATCAACAGGAATTTTTTGATATCCTCTCCTTTCAACCCTTTTTTTTGGGCTTAGCTTTCTGGACTGCAAACCATCAATGTGTTTAATCTTGTCTCTTTAAGTACTTTTCTTTTCCCCCTTATATTGTTCCTAGAGATTCCTTTTGTATAATTTTTTCAATCATCTAAGATGTTTAAAATTTGGGCAATCATGGATCTTATTTATTCTTCCATTAAGTTTACTCTATCGCCAGCAGAGCAGCGAGTGAAACAAATGAAGTATGTTTTAATTTATTTGTAATGTAATAGATTTTAATTTGGTATTTCTTACATTTTAATTAATGCAAATATTTGATTTCTGTAATTTAGGTACGTATCTATATTTCCTGTTGTATGGATAAAATACGAATAGCATGCAATATTTTGTGGAGATGTGTTTGCATTAAACTTGTGTTATAAGTTTAGTGTCGTTTTTTTCCCACGCATATAAGAGATTATATTTGGGTGGAATTTAAAAGGGGATTAATGAGTTTGATGGCAAACTATGTGGAATGACCTTTGGTGGAGTTTTGCATTTTCTCTTAACATTCTCCAAAAATCCAATATTAGAGATATAAAGATCCAGAAGCATCCTTACTCGTTAGAGGAGCTCAAAGTGATTACAGAAGATGAATTGAAGTTGGATTGACAAGCCAATAGTTATGTGAAGGTTAATAGGAAGCTTCTGGCTTAATTCTAATTTCTTCTTTTTACTTATTAATGATGCTCAAATTTTTTGCTTTTTAATTCAACTATCAATTGGTTGCAACCTATGTAGAGTGACAATTTAACCCAACGGTCGAACATTGCAGTATGGCAACAGTTATTGGTCCCTTTGCTTGCGTGTGAAACTCATGAGAAGCTTGCCTTCTCGTTACAAGCGTATTATTGGGTTTTCAGGCTTCCATTTTAAATGTTATTTGTGAACCAATTTTTTTTTGAGGGTCTTGTTGGCTGTGACACCTGCTTAGTTTCTATTTGAACATGAAATATCAGTTTCCATCATAAGATCTATTAGCATATAGCTGTATTGTTTCCAGTTTCCTTGTTTCACATGTATTAATTATGTGCCAATTGTAAGGAGTTTTTTGTGATGCAGAGCTAATTAGGTTTTTTATTTCCCTTTTTTGCAATGGCACCATAGAAGTGACTTCTTCAAGAAGAATGCTTGAAAAAGTGCTCATCCTCTTTGCTCTCCCCCTTTGCTAATGCGATATCCCCTTTCTTTGTTCTTGTTAGTTTCTATTGGATAAGGGGAAAAGAGAGCTAAAGGCATTATAAATGCCTTGGACAATAACTCAAGAATTGGTTTCCTTTTACTTTTAGTGTGCCAAGGACATATGCATTGAGGCTAGAAAACATAAATAATATCTTTCAATGAATTGAAAAGAACTCTATACTTAGGAATTTATGATTAATTGTAGAAAATTGGTTTCATGTGCTTTACCTTTTGATTCGAGTTGATTTATCTTGATGTTGGCCGGGGGCCTTGGGAATCAAAGATGCTGAAAGTGAATAATGATGCAGGAACTCCAAAATCTGGACTGTTTACGTTTATTGTAGCATGTTACTATTCCATGCTACTGTAAGCAGTTTTCATTAGGGTGTTTTAATGTTTTTAAATTTAAGTCAGGCCGTTTTACTGAGAATTTTCACTTCCCTACTATATATATTTACTTTTTAAAGACTTTATTCCTAGTTGGAATTTAGTTGTAGCCCTTATTCTATTAATATTTATGTTTAAAACCTTATTCTAGTTGATTAAGATGCTTATTATTGCTGTAATGTTCTTAATTTAAGAGGAAATTTAGATTTTTTGAATAACAAGTAAAAAAATCAAGTTCTAGTTATTAACCAAGAGATTGAAGAGCAGCGCATTTTCATAGTTAAGGTAACTTCAAGGTTGGGTGTTATTTATTGATAATGATATTGTTGAGAATTTAGTTTGAGAAGAATCAATAGATAAGTTGAATTTGGTGTGCCATAAGCATTCCTCACCCTTCTAAAGTTGCTTGGATTAGAAAAGGTAATGCAATTTCCTATTACATCTAGGTTGTTTTGGTTTCAATAAACATGGGATGATGTTACAAAGATTGAGTATCGTGTGATGTTTTTAAACAATGGATGCTTGTCAAAATTTTTTTGGGCCATCATTATTGTATGATTCTGTTGCAGAAAGCATCGTTTGTATGCTAGGAAGTTAGGACTAGGTGATAGTCCATGTGTTCTGCCAGTTTGCCTATGCTGAAAAGAAGAGACCATGGAGAAGAAAACTTGGCTTCACACCACATTCAATGATGCAACCCCTAATTTATTTTCTTTGGAATTTGAATGAGGGAGGTGGTGAACCAATAGCATTGACTAAAACTTGGGTTTGATCGCTACTTGGAAAGAGCGCACTTGAGGTGGTTTAAGACATTCTTGATATGAGAAAGAGTTTGTTTCCAAGAAGAGAAATCTTTATCTGAAAATTTCCTCATCAAAGTCCGATTAAGCAAACCAACCTATAAAAAGCTCTTTTATTTTGGAAAGACGATAGTTTGAAGATATTGATTCTGCCAATTTATGAACCACTAATATCCATGTTTTGCCTCATAGGAGTTGAGTTCTCTTCTACATGGAGGGAATTGATGGAGGACATAAGATCTAAAGAACTGTTCAAATTACTGTAGCATGGTTTACTTTCATGTTACTGTAACATTTTTCTGATTAGGGTTATTTTATGTTTTATTAATAGGATTATTTTAGAAATAGTAAATTCCCTAAATTCTAATTAGGATTTACTATTTAGTACTTTGTTCTTCGTAGGAATTTGATATTGTAGCCCCTTATCTCCATTAGTTATTTTATGTTTAACCTTATTTTTTTGATGTACGCCTTATAAAATGAGGCTGTAACAATCTTCTGTTTTTGGATGCGAGATTGGCAAGATTTCAGCTTTTGAGTAATGACAAGAAGAAAAATGGTTTTGGGTTATTATCTTTTCGCTAATGTGTAACCAGAAAGTTCGCAGCCTGTTTTGGTTGATTGATTTATCTCCTTTCTCCTCTTATTTCAAGCAATTCCTTTTCAAAATCTTCCCAGTTGGAGGATTAGGGTTATTTTTTTAATGCATCACATAATAGTCCTAGGAAAATATTGGAAGAAGTTGAAGCAAACCTAATACTGTTTGAATGTAGGATACCAGTGGAAAACTTCATTTGGTTCCTAAACGAGGGTTAGGGTTTTTGATGGAGTTAAAGAAGGGTCAGATTTGCAGAGATAAAAGAAATTAGGCTTGAAATTAACATAAAAATTTAATTGGCTTCACAATTGGATAAGGAAAAATGGGGAAATTAACAGACTTAGAAATAAATTAAAATAGACTAGTAACCTCGAACCAGTAGGGTTATCGTTCTTTTTCACCCATTCGGTAGGAGACCAGCCTTTTTGATGAGCCTCTCATTTGGATCTGGTGGCCTTGACTTCAATTGAAACTAAATTAAAGTTTGATGAGAATTGTACAAGCTAAATTGTGACCAAAATGAAACTGCAATACACAGTTGAATGAGCGAATATATAGTAAATTACACATTTATTCCTGGCTTTCCCTGTTTTCCTTTATCAATTCAATACTAGGTTTAGGTTTTGCCTTTAGCTTTTCTGCTTTTTAATTGGCTGATCCAGATGCTTGAATTACGTTTTAGTTTATTTGGTTTCTTAATTGTTTATTTTTTCTAACCTACCTCCTCTTTGTCGCATTGGCCTTTTTTATTGCCTCAATAATCATGTCAGATTTAGAGATAGTCCGTGAATTTCAAACATGTCTCAGTTACAAGCTTTGTTTCATCTTAATTTTGTAGGTTATGTAATCTGACATTTTGTCAATTGCGTTTTGCATTTTCTGGTCTTGAGGGCCCAGATTGAAATGATGCAAAGGGAAAGATGTAGGGTTGGTCAGTTTTTCAAAACAAGTAAGCTAGAATAGGGTTGATTGTAGTGGAACATAATCAGTAATTAGGTTTATAACCTTGAATTTAAAATTTATGTAGGAAAATAATGAATGATTTACAAGTACTACTTAGTGCCTGTCTATTTATAGTGATATCTAACTAAGACTAGGAAATTCCTAATTAAAGAAAGAATTTAAAACCTCTACTCCTATTCATGACAATAGTAAATCCTAATCAAATAAAGAAAGGAAAACTAGTGCAAATCTGAAATAAAACAGTGGAAATTAAAATATCCTAGTTGTGATAGGAATCCTTAGGACTAGGATTGCTCCTGCATCATTCTCCCCGGGTTTGAGAAAGACTCGGCTCAGACCGAGTAAACCGTTAAGATCCTTCAGGATGGTATAACTTATTCCTTTTGAAATAAATACCATCTTTGCAATCGGTATGGCTAGACTTCCAGGCTTCTGAAGAATGCAGCAAATCGAACCTTTATCTTGGCCAAAACATGGCATTCTTGAAATTTCATACTGCGGTTTTTTTCAGTTCTTTCAAAATCAGTAATTTGAGTGGCTCAAAATTGGGCTAAAATTAGGGATCTTCTGCTTAACTGCATCAGCCACAATAATTAGATTGAACCGGAATTTATACATTTAGTGAGAAATTAATACTAGAAAGGTAAGAACTCCCACTTAGCAATATCGCATTGTTGAGTTATCAGAGATTTTAGGATACCTCAAGACTGATGATCAGAAAAAAACCACAAAACCATCAAGATAGGCTAAATGTAATGCTGCAATGTCGAATGGTTGTACCCAAGGCATTAAGATACTCTAGATCTATAAGTTTGAGTAACACTTCTTATGTCTTCGGAAACTTCTTACTAAAAACTCAAGAAGTCCTGCCCTCTTGGCTAAAAACAAGCTCCAAATCCCTTCATGTGAAGCATCACATTCGACACATAATGATTTCTCAAAATTCTGAAGTGCAAGAAATGTGCTCTGGTCATCAAAAACTTGATTCTTTCAAATGCCTTTTGTGCAGAATTTGGTCCACTCAAACTTTTTCTTCTTTCATAAGATTCAATTATAGGAACTCATAATTTGAACTGAAATTTTTGGATAAATCTCCTATAGAAGAGGCCCAGCATGAAAGCCTATAACTTTCTTTTGATGGGTTTGCGGTGCTGGCGATTCTGTAATTGCACGAACCTTTTCTGGATCTGGTTTTAATCCTTCAGCAGACACAATGTATCCCACGGAATACCACTTCTGGTTGTAGGAAACCTGCATTTTATCAGGTTTATGTGCAAGCTAACTCTTGACGTAAGTTACTTTTCTCACACTTGAGATGTTTTCCATGGATTTTCCTCGGTTGGCATAAGCATCAAATAACCCATCCGGTGGTCCTTAAAAGCTGTTTTCCATTCATACCATGTCTCATTCTTAATTTGGTGATATCCACTTTTCAAGTCAATTTTGGAAAATCAACTTTAGAACCGCTTAGTTGATCAAGCATATCCCTCCAATCTTCTTGGTATTTGGAAGCCGATACTTGATTGTATCTTATTTTATAGGCACGACTATCCACACACATTTCCAAGAACCGTCCTTTCTTTCGTGTTAATAAGGCTTGGGCAGACACATGGACTTTTACTTCCAAAACGCCTCCAGACCTTTTTCCCAATAATTCCTTAACCTGGTCTTCTATTAGCTCCCGTTTTAAAGGAGGGCATTCGTATGGCAGGCCAGATTTGGTAAAGTTGCTCCTGGTTACCAATCATAGCGCAAGTTGGATGCTTCTTAAACGGTGGGCAGCTTTTCGTACATCTCTTCACTAATCAATTCCTTTAAATTCCTGCATAATCGTTGAATTTCAAAGGAAGATTCAACTTATTTTTCAACCTGGTCAGCCTCCTAATCAGTTTGCCTTCACTAAGACATACGTGACTCCCACGTCACTATGCGCTGCTTTGCATTCCCTTTTTTTAAAAAAAACACTTACAAGCTTCATTTAATTTAACTAGTGGCAAGCTCCTTTATTTGCTATTTGCCTTTTGTTTCTCTGCCTTGAGAAGGTAAGCAAAGTGTAACTTCTTGTTTGTCCTTGTAGAACGAACTAAGTAATTAGGCTTGTCTTGTGGTCCATATCATGATCATACAACAAGTCGTCCACTAAGAATATGCCCAACATCCATTGGTACTACTCCATAGTGCTTTCATCTGCCAAGTCCATCTCCCATATGTGAATTGCACTAAGCATCTGAGATGTTACTCGGTATCGCTTCGTGGCCTTTCTTCAAACCACCCTACTTTTGTATGGATGAGGAAATATTTTGTGTAGGGAAGCCTTTAATTTCTACCAGCCTCCTTTGATATTATTTTCCATACTTCCCTCCATGCAATAGACTAAATTAGCAACACTTTGCCTTCCACAAATACACGTGTAACGGAAAATGCTTTATGCCTTCCATCTTCTTTTTCCCTTCTTTGTTCATGGCTGTCATGGACTGTTCGAACAACTAAGACTGCACCTTGAGCTGGGTGAACATCATTTCTTCTACTTCCTCATCATATCATAAAAAATAGGGCCTAGGTCTCCATCATACTCGGGCTAATTTACCTCTCCTTTGTGGACCAGATGAATGAAGTAATGTCCCTTTTCTTCCACAGTAAAACAACCACTTGAGATTGTTTTGCCTCTTCCTTGTAGATGAAGCCAGAATTGTTTTTGTCCACCATATAGGTACTATAATCTTTCTCTTTATCATTTCCCATCAACTACGGGTTGTCTCTTATTGTATTTATTAGTAGCAGGCAGCCTCTTTCCCGCTTCGTTGAGTTTGTTTGAATTCCCTCTTGCAGCTCCCGAAAATTGTTTTGCCAATTGCTTCTGTTTTGGACCTTCTAGCACCGTAATGAGAAACCTCGCTTTTTCAGTTGCCTAAGGCCATATTGGCGAGTATCTTCAAAGATTGTGTTGCGGACTATGCCCATTTCATCTCTAAGGGACTGATTCAACTAGCAAAGGTAGCGAAGAGGTAATTTGTTTCATTAATTTTAGATATTCCGGCTCGAATTGGACCAAATTATTAAATTCTGGCAAGTGTACTCTTCAAACAAACATGCTATTTTGTTTTCAAGTAGTGGAAACTTTCATATAGTTCCATTGCGTATCAGCTGCTAATTGGCTATCCTTAGTTAGTTTTCATGTGGCTCCCACGTGATGAATTTTTTAAGCTTTCCTGTGTCGTAATGCTGCTCCTTCAACTCTTCTTCCACCAATTGAAGTGCAGTACTTACTTTAATTTAGCTTTAACAAAAACACTTTTCCGGGTTTTAAACCTGGTTTTCCATTCAAAATAATTTTTCTTAAAACTAGTTTCCCAATCTAAAATAGTCCCCTTTCGGCATGCGATTTCCCATGAAAATATCAAAACTTCAATTTTAACTCCTCCACTATTTAAATCAGAGCATGAAGTAAACGCTTCTTCCAATCTGCCCTCGTGGCCTGCTGGGTTTTGCAGGTCCAGCTTCCATGAGGGGTTTTACTTCCTCTGGACTTCCTCTCACTCTCAAGAGCCTTCTTGAAACTCATAGGTTTTAGTGGTTTGCTCTTCCGAAGTTCTCCATTTGGCTTCCACGGGTTTTCCCTGACGCTGCGAAGCGAGGCTTGTACAGCCCTGGGTCAAATTCCATCATCATTCGCCGTATCTCAGGTGATTTCATCTTGTTGGGGGCTGATTGCCCTGCTGCATCTGCCTCCTGGCCTCTTCGAACCATGGTTTAATTCCAGACAAAAAAAGAATCCCTTAGGACTCTGTTTTTTGTGGCTCTGAATACCAGTTTGATGCAGGGGAAGATGTAGGCTGTCAGTTTTCAACAAGTAAGCTAGAATAAGGTTGATTGTAGGTGGAACAGTAATTCAGTAAATTAGGTTTAATAAGCTTTGAAATTAAAATTATGAAAGGAATAGGATGATTTACAGTACTACCTAGTAGCTTGTCTATTTAATAGTGATAATCCTAACTAGACTAGGAAATCCTAATTAATAAAAGAATAAACTCATACTCCTATTCAATGATAAATAGTAAAATCCTAATCAATAAGGAAACGGAAAACTATGTCCAAATCTGAAATAAAAACAAGTAAATTAAAATAAACTCTAGTTGTGCTAGGAATCCAACTTAGGACTAGGATTTGGCTCCTGCCATCCACTGAATTTGATACATAGTGAAGCTTTTTATTTTTTGACGCAACAATGAAACGGAAAACTAATGCAAATCTGAAATAAAACAGTAAATTAAATAAAATCCTAGTTGTGCTAGGAATCCAATTAGGACTAGGATTGCTCCTGCATCACTGAATTTGATAAATAGTGAAGCTTTTTATTTTTTTGAACGCAACAATCCGTAGTTCATGGAATTTTCCAGCATAGTCAATGACAGCTTGATTGCCTTGTTATGATGCATACAACTTGGCAAAAAGGTTTTTGGTGTTTTGGAAATCTCTCCTCATAAATTAGTTTAAAATTTCGGGGGTTTAAATTGATGCAGGTGTCCAAGGAAAAACTTGTTAATTTTAAATAAGATTAGGATATCGTAGAAAGAATTAAAGAAATTTGGTTTCATAGCTAATATGGTTATCTTCACAATCGTATAGGAGAATAAAACAAGCAAAATAAACTACTAGCCTCACACTATTAAAAGCTAGGTGCTTATTCTATAAGGAAGCCTCATGCTTTCTGGGCTCTGAATTGCATCACTCTACTTAGGAAGACTAATTGTTGGAATTTTTTCATGGAAATACTGATCCAATAGCTTTATAAGCTTTTGTTATTTAAAGACCCAAATAATCCTAAACCTTAAAGACATTGGAGTTTCAAAGTAATCCAGGATCTGAACCTTCATAAAAAGAAAAATGAAATTGATCTAGGAGCACTGTTGAGAGTAAGAGTTTTTGGCTAAATAAAATTAAGACAAAATACATGCATTGCTAGTTTGGCTCCAATAAGAAGAATGGAGGTTAGGTGAGATTGGACAGTAGTGTGGTACCAAGTGGAGTCAATTAAAATTTCTAGGCTATGTTTTTCATGAGGAGGTATGATATATGAAGATTTAACTAGGAATTAAAATAGGGAATTGAGGCATTGTATTAGTGGAGGAAGCTAGTAGGGAAGGAAAAGGCTTGCCATGCATCTTCCATACCAAAACAAAATGCTCAAAACTCCATTGTTCAAAGCTTGAGATTGGATATTTTTAGAGACGACTAACTCTGTAGCCTACAAGCACAAGTGAATTCCTGACTAGGAAAATTCCAAGCTAATATTAGTTAGGGAGCATCACTCTTAAAACAAAATGCATAGATAATAATAAATGTACATTTCCTAAATACAAAATTATGTAACACTCGTAAATAGGAAAGTTACTGGACAAAACTAAGGTTAGATTATTAAAATTTACATCAAAATTCTTGATGATGATAACTCTTATTGCTGTTCTAGGGATTATTGTTATTTAGTAGAAATGATGGATTCTGGTTTTAGGTATTTTTAATATCAGTAGTTTCTTTTTTTTTATTTTGGATTTCAAAATATTGGTGCTAAGATTCCAAATGTTTTATATTAAGAATGTGAGTAGTTTTATGTAAGACTATTTGTCTTCTGGGCTGAATACCGTCTCAAACTTTATTTTGTTTGTGTCATTTGTAAAAGGCACAGGCGTAGACTAGGCTTTAGATTCTCTTTATGCACTTTTAAGCATGTAGCAACATTTAATGAGTTGATTCTTTCTTTATTCTATCTTGTTTCTTGTTTCTTGATTGGATCGAACATTATCCAAGTATGAGAAAATGCATTCGCCATTTTTTGTTGATGAGGAACCTTTTTTTCCCCTCCTATGCAACATTGCACTTTCTTTTCCTTTGTGTATTTAGGGCATTGCCCTTTGTTATGGATTCTCCAGTGGTATTACATGTCCATTAAAAGATGTGAAGCACAGGCACAAAAACATGAATGGGCTGGGTGTTTATTTTAAGTGACTGAAATGGAGATTTTTAATTATTGCACTGAGCTTAACAGAGTAGCTTCTATCTAATACACTGTATCTCTCACTATAATTCCTCATTTTGCCAGGTGGATATAAGGGTGGCACCTGGAACCCATGCAACTGAAGCTGCAGGTACTCTCTCTCTCTCTCGTGTATGTGGATTGATTGCATAGTTCTCAAATAGGCTTCTGCATGGTCATAGATACATGGAACTGAAACCAAGTTGCGAAAAGCAATAATTGAAATGTAGAGTACATTTGACTAACCAGTTTTACTAGTTTGGTTAATAAAATGTTTAGTTTCTTTTCAGTTGGTCCTAGTTTCATTTAGGGATAATAATAATACAGAAACCCTAATTTTTGGACAACTTTAAGTTTAAATCCAAAGACTGCTTATAATTGCCTGACTTTTTTTAAATGTTTACAATTAATATTCAGACACAACAATAACTAACCTTAATTCTAAACTAGTTGGGGTCAGCTATATGAATCTTTGCTTCTATTCGGCACTATTCATGGCTAAGTCCACCCTATTCATGGCTAAAGCACCAATGAAATAGGAACACTGACACTAATTAAGAGAGAGAATACCATCAATATGAAAAAATTGTTAATAAATTTAATTAGGACCTCATTTATTTTGTTAGCTTCCGTAATTGTTTTGTATGTGCGTTTTGCTCTTCTTAAACATTTAAGATGAGATTACACTGAATTCACTAAGCATTACTATTTAGTTATTCTTCAATATGCCAGCTCTAGATTTTCTGTAGTTCGATTGTATTAAATTTTTTAACTAGTCCTATTTCTTGGGAACATTTGGACATGATTTGGAGTCTGGGGGCCAAGCCGCGCTTTGAGAAGCTTAGGATCAGCTAATCGCATGTTTAAGGAGCTTGAGCTGGACTCAAGCTCATCTGGTAGTTGGCTCATTTAAATGTTAAATTAGCTCTTGGCTTGACCTGAGCTCAACAAGCTAACTAAGCTGTAAATAACCTCACACTCAGTTTTACAATTCTGAACTGCATTTTATAATGGCTTATAATAGTGAGCCATATATATAAAAAATATTAAATTAAGAGGCACACAATGTGAGCCTCACACCATGGCTCTAAAAGCCACAACTTAAGAATATGAATGAGGAGGATTTCAGCTTTTATAAGGATGAACGCTACCCATTTGGTTTTTAACCTCTGTTATCCTTTTTTTCTTTCTTTTCATCATTACATCTTGGATTTCAGTGACTACATTTGAAAGTTAATTATATATATGGTATATTATGTAAAGATCATATAGCATGCTATAATATTTAATTAAATCTTTTATCATTTTTATAATTATTGCTTCAACTTCAAATAAATTTTTGTATTTCTGTGAGTTATTTATTTGAAAGATTTTAAGGTTCGTACTTACAATTATTTATTTATTATAAATCTTCGAATTTTAGTTTTTGGTTCAACATGTATGATGATTAATTTTTTGAAATAATAAAAATAAAACGTGAAATATTTTTAGAATGCTGTCAATTATCATATGCCTTCAATTAAACTACTTAATATACATGCGTGCTTAATAGGCATGTAAACAAGCTACCTTATGAGCAAGCTCATGAGCCTTTAAATGAGTTAGTTCACATGCTTCTTAAACAAGTTACCTCAGAAACTTCTTAAATGAGTTGGCTATCTTTGAGCTCAAGCTTGGTCATTCATTAAATGAGATCTAAAATCAAGCTCGACTTCAGCTCATTTACATAACCAGCAGAGCCTGAATGAGCTTTTACAAGCCAAGCCTCAAGCAAGCAGCTCGACTCATTTATACCCCTATTAGAGTCCTAAAAGTTGGTGGCTGTTGTACCATTATGTACTAAATCTTTTATCTTTGTTCAACCAAATCCTAAACTTACAAAGTTTATTATTGTCAGTCAATGTCAAATTCTGTTAGACAATGCTAAAATGTTTTTCCTTCATCCATAAAACTGTTAAATACTACAGCCTAGCCTTTTTCGAAACTCGATTTTTTTTTTTTAAAAAAAAAAAAAGAAGAAAAAGATAGTCATATTAAAGTTTAAAAATTTCAAATCTATAGATAATGATCAAAACCTTCCTATGAATTTTTCTTTAATCAGGGACAAATGCAAACATTTCTTCTAAGAATCACACTTTGATTGGCATTTCGTCTTTCTTGACATGATTTTGGTGGTCTATTGAAAGTTCTTTCAGATCGAAAAAGAATGGGAAAAGGGAAAGGTAAGTTTTAAAAGACTCTAGGACTGGAATATATACAGTAGCAAAGGATAAAATTTTCAGAATTTCTGAAGTTACTGTACACTGTTACAGTAGCAAGCTATAGCAATTTTCAAATCAGCGTTATTTTATGTTTTAATGAATTTAGGTTTTATTTATAATAGTCAAGTCATACTGCCATCAGGATTTATGGTTTAAGACTTTATTGTAGTAGGATTTTGTGATTAAGTCCTTATTTTAATTATGATTTAACTTGTTCTAGATGGATAATTATTACATGCTCATAAATAGGGCTGTAATTTTTTGTTTTCAGTTATGCTTAAGGTTTTTGAGTAATAAAAGAGACATTTTATTGGTAGTTTATGTTCCTGGTTGTATCAGCAGAAGATTCAGTTCCTTCTGGTTGAGTTCTGATCTATTAGTTATCTTTTTTCAATATTCTCGTCAAATCTATTAGGGTTGTTTTGCTAGATTAGAAATATGAAAAGAGCTTATATTTGGTACTGGCTAGTAAAATGTGCCATTGACTAGCTGAATATTCAGTTGAATTAATTGATTGTACTAACAGTGAGCTATTTTTAAAGGACTTAATTGTAAAATAATTAGAACTTAATTGTAAAAGTGACCAACTTATAGGGCTGCAAACGTAGGAATCCATTTGGACATCTATTTTCGAGCATAAAAATCTTTTCAAATTGAAAAATCACACAGTAAGATTTCTTTTAATTTATAATAGTTATATTTTAACTCATAGTTTTACTAATGGGACCTTAGTAAACTAATATATGTGTTTGATTGAGTGAGTGTATTGCTGGCCTGTTTAATCATTCTTGCATTTTGGTCTCTCTATTCTACTGTGCTCCTTCATTGGCTTAAAAAACACAACTTATATGAGGGGAAAAATTGCCCAAGCCCTTAATGCTCATAACCATGGGGTCTGGGTGAGCCTGGAGCCAAGGCATACCTTTCACAACTATAATCAAATGTTTTTGCTGCTTGTTAGATTGTTTGTTACGGCTCTTCAAGCCTCATTATTTGTTTTCCACCATAGTTTTGTTCAGTTCATGAGATGCTAATTATGGACCCTGATCATATAATATCCAGTTTTAAGATTTGGTTGCCTGCTGATAATTTTGTTTCTCTTTTTGCTTGCTCCTTTATCATAGCAGACCTTTATGAATTGTGAGTGGTGCAAGTCTTGAGAAATGCACTTTCATTCAGTGAATAATAACACAATGCTTTGGTCATCCTTTTTCCTTGTTTGGCCCTTGAGTGGCTTGGAGCAGCATGAAGTCTTGATAAATAGTATTTGTGTAAGTTATGAAATGATCTTATTTATAATTTTTTTTCGTGCAGTTAACAAACAATTAAACGATAAAGAGCGAGTTGCCGCAGCCTTGGAAAACCCCAACCTAGTGGATATGGTTGACGAATGCCTGGGTCCATCTTATGCTTGAAAATATTTGCAATCGTAGTTAGCATTGCTTCTAGTTCTCAAAGTTAGGTGGACAATTGTTACCTATTGTGACGATATATGTGGGAGTGTGATGTGCAGAAGCGCAGGATGCAGTCAAATTGTTACCTAGTGATGTAATTTCCTTAAAAAAAAAAAGGATAGGGATGTATTGTTTATAAAAGAGTTACTCGAGATACTCTATATTAAGATTGTATTTATTTATTTTTATTAATTTTATAAGTGATTTATTATTAGACTTTCTATAAAAAATATAAAAAAACATGTTGATTTATATTTCATATTTATATATAGTTTTTCCACATGGTTTCAAGGCTAATGTAGTCTAACATATTTACTCATAAATATGTTGCTCCTTAGATATGCAATTATTTTAGAATTGCCTGCTTCTTTTGACGAGGGAGTGTTCTTTTGACGAGGAAGTGTTCTTTTGACGAGGAAGTGTTTGATGAATTGTCTCAATTTATGGTTCTCACATGACTAGCTAACATGGTTGTGTCTTCGGAGGTAAAGGAAGCGGAGGCAAATTATAGTGTCAGGATTTGAGTTCCTCCCGCAAGATAAGCGTTTCCCCTTGGCTCCGCACTATGCACACGCCTCGAATGCAATTGTTTTAAGTATTCTCTCAATTCATTCTCTTTAGGTGTGTATGCTATTAGACCCTAAAGCAATCCGTTCATTTTTGTAACACTCTAATCCATTTATAAAGCATTACTATATAAAATACCAATTTTGTCACGGTTATCATTAACATAATATCTCCTAAACTTCTCTCTCATCAAGAACTCCATCCACTAATAAGTAACCTTATTCAGTCTAAAAGTGGAGAGGGTCTGTCATGCCTATGTCTATGAGGAGTGCCTTGGATATGTTGGATTAATGGGCCACGAACCTATTAAGTTTGAAAAGAATGGAATGAAATAAGAACAGTTTAGGAGGGGAAAAGAACTATATGAGAGGGATAAGAGAAAAATTAAAAAATTAGGAGGTTGAAAAAAGAAAATAGGGTTAAAGGTGAATGAAAAGGGGATGAGAAACAGAGTAAATGCTTAGAGCATTAGGTTAGTTGATTTGTGTGTCATTTACAATAGTGTCACCTCCTATTTATAGCAATCTTAACGATCACTCTAAGGACAGCATAATAATCCTAAGATATTTACAATACAACAACAGGCTATATAAATGCCTATAATATCCAAGATATAAATGATATTTATAAGTGGGTTCTAAGCCCAAATGTCCTTATTGGTGCATTCTTGATCATCTAATAAGCTTTTTATTTTTTTATTTTTTTATTATGTCATTTCGAGCCTCGTGTTTGGACATCGTTTCTGGGCTGACATCAACAATCCCCTTACTTAATTAGTTCTTGTTCTAAGTTAAGGGTTATGTTTGTTTTCAGGAAGAAAGTTCTCAATGGGAGAGAATGTAATTCCCCTACCATTAGTAACATGAATGCTACTACTAAATCCTAGTGTCTTGTGAGTGCGAGGCATTTTGGACTAAATATATGAGTCTTTGGCCTGTAGAAGAAAGAAAAGTCACATTCCAAGCTCATTTCCTCCGAAATTTTGGAGTGAATTTAACTCTAAAATTTATATTTTGGTAAATCTCGGGGTCAATTTTACTTGTGGTGCCTCAATTTAGGGATAAGCACTTTGTCTTGCCTATATTTCAATTTGTCATTTAAAAAATACTCTAATTTTGATTTATGTATCAATACAAGATCTTTGGCTGATTTATTTCAATTTCGTTTGTTGGAATGCCACATAAATTAAAATTTATTACAGTTCCCAAAAACACTCTCTTCCCTCCACACAGGGATGGCCAAAATTTGGTTTTCGGAACCAGAACCATCGGTTCCGAACCGGTGGGAACCGAAACCAGTACGAACCGGAATCGAAATCGGTCCAAATCGGTTCGGTTCAAGTTCCACCAGTTTTAGAACCGTGAACCGGTGGTTCCAGCTCCAGTCTGAACCAACGGTTCTAGTTCCACTTGAAACCGGCCATAATCGTCGATTTTAGAACCATTGAGAAATCGAAAATGGAACCGGAACCGTTCTGTTCCAAACCGTAATCAAAATCATTAATTTTCGGTTTGGTTCCGGTTTTAAAAAATTTAGAATCGGAACCGGTGGTTTCGGAACCGTGGCCACCCCTGCCTCCACATAGACACAATTACTCTTTCTCATTGTTTTAGCTTAAATGTATTTTTTATCTCTCATTTATGTCTCTTATCTATAACCAAAATACTCGATATCTAAATTTTTTTTTCCTTCCTCTTGCTCCTCTTGTTAGAATTTCAAGAATCTCAAGAACTCAAAAATCAAAATCATCTATTTTCTTCATTTATCATACAAATATCATGGGAGCTAGTAAAAAAACCAAACAAGAAAAATCGATTTGAATGAGGATAAGAATTTGATAGCTGGAGTCTTATGCATATAGGACTCCTTGAGATCCATTTAATTTAATTCAAAATAAAAAATTGAAGATGACGGTTGAATAAGAATAACATCAAAGCAAAATATAAAGATATAGATAGATTGAAACTCTCGATTCTAATCAAGAAAGTAATAATTTTATGTACCCATTTCACCTGCTTGATTTTAAACATGAGTCGAAGGAACCAAAGTTACATTAAAAACATGAAATCTAAAAATAATGCAAAGATAACCCTTCCTTAAATTTAGAAACTTTCTTATTCCTGAACTAGATTTTTCTCATTTGGTTTCCCAAAAAATCAAGAAAGTGAAAAAAAAAAAAATTTATTTGAGTTATCTCAAATCTAAGATATGAAAAAAAATGATTCACATAGATGGATCTAATTAAATACACAAGATGAGATTTTTATTTTAATTTTGAAGATGGATCCATGGGACAAAAATGAAATCACAAGATGTAAGTTGTGAAAATCAGAGGCCTCGAATCTAGAAACAGAGCCACGGTTGAAGCCAAAACTAGAAGAAAAATAAAAGAGCCCCTAATTAAATCGTACCATTTTTGCTTTTGAGACGATAAAAGTTTGATATCCAAATTCTTTTTCTTTCCTCGTACTTAGAATTTCAAGAATCTCAAAAATCCATACAAACCAAAATCCTCTATTTTTTTTTTCATTTATCATACAAAAACTACAAAATAGTAATAGAACCGATCAAGAAAAACTGCCGTGGCTTTTTCTTTAAAATTATGGCTCCTGAAATGGAACCAACACTAAACTATTAGAATAAAATCCGATTATGATCCTATTATCCGATTGTGATCCTCGTATCTGAATCTGGTCCTAGTATCTGAATCTAATCCTAATGTATCTGAATATGAACCTAGTATATCTGATTTTGATCTTAGTGTATCTGATTATGTATCTTATTACGATTCCTTGTACACCTATATAAGGGTGTTGTATAATGTACATCTCACAGTAATACAATGTAAATTCATTCTCATTCAACTTGGTATTAGAGCCCTTCTAGGCAATTACTTTTCTTCTTTTTGCAGGCTTCGGGTCTTCTCCTGTAAGGCTTCACGCCTTCCATAGCCATCTCAAATGTCATCCTCTAAGACTGTATTGGTTATTCATCATTCTACTTCTCTGGTTCCTAGTAAGAAGTGGTGCTATTACCATGAGACATCTACTCATCATCACTTAGAATGCCGCATTCTACAGGATCGTGATCACAACAAACAGAAATCATTTTCACACTCAGTGGCTGATGTAACGAACACTGCTCCTTCTGCTGAGTCTTCTTCTCTCACCTAGGTGCAACTCACTTCAGATGAACTAGTAGTAATTACTCAGCTTCGTCAGTCTCAAAATGGTGTTGGAAGTGGTATTTCTAACTCTTCATCTCATAGTTTTTCTGCCTTGTCTATTACAACAGGTGCCCAACTGTAGACGTTCAAATTTTGCCCCTAAAAGGTTCAGTGATGATACACCGTTTTTTTGTATAAAATTGGATTGGAAATTCCGACCACCCCGATTTTCGGACCATTGGTTCGTAGCTGAGATCAACCATGTGTTTAACTATTTTTACTTTTTCGGGATACTAGGCGTTTCGCAAAGAAATGGGACCCAAGAAGCGCGTCGGATCCATCCGGTGCACTTTCTGGAGCTCTATCTCGTTTTGCGTGTCACCCGATCCGATTTGATAAAAATGGGTCCGGACCTACTGCGGGGCCTGTCAGTGGCATTTTTGCCACATTAGCCCTAAATGGGGCCACCCCACCCTCAAAGGCCTATAAATAGACATTGGGGGGTGTGTGTAGAGGAGGATTTTTGGATAGGTTAAGGAAACCCTAGAAATTTTAAAACTCAATCTATGAAATCAAAGGAAACCATTGTTTTCCTTTGGTTCTAAGATTGTGATCCATAGATTCTTTAATCAAAAACCCTTAAGCATATACTAGAAATCCAAAAAGCACATTTTAAATCTTGAATCTCGAATTATTGGATCAAGGACCAAGGAGGCGGGTTTCTTCATCCATTTTTTTTTTTGAATCAATCTTCAAAGACATCAACAAAAGGTAGTTTCTGAGAACCTTAAACTCATTTCTCCATTTTTTTTCCTTTCTGGTGTTTTAAACACCTGTTCTGGGTTTGGTTGTGAGGGAAACATATGATCAACCACAAAGGGGTCTCTGTGCCTTTATGGTGCATGGCCTAAGCTAGTGGCGCAAGCCACAGCGTGTGGCGTGTGCCATAAGACTGTGGCTCGCACCATATGAGCCCAGATCCCCCTGTTTTTGCCCTGTTTATACCAGAAGTCTTCCTGATCCAGAAAAGGCCCTGCGCCACTCTATGTGGCGTGGGCCATAAGCTTGTTACGCGTGACATAGCTCCTTGTGGCACATGGCCCTTTAATTCAGAGGCTATGAATGTATAAAATTTAATAAATGTCTCGATTTAGATATCCAGTGGCCAAGCTCTAACCTTAAATGATCTGTGATGCGTATTAAGCCACATATGGATACATAGCTCCTTGTGGCACATGGCCCTTTAATTCAGAGGCTATGAATGTATAAAATTTAATAAATGTCTCGATTTAGATATCCAGTGGCCAAGCTCTAACCTTAAATGATCTGTGATGCGTATTAAGCCACATATGGATCAAATAAACAATAAAGACTAGATTGAGAGTAATGACTGGTGTATTTGTTCATCCTTCAAGGATGAACGTCAAGGCCATAAGCTTAAATCTTGTTCAACAATTTAAATTCTTGTCATTTAATTTATTGTCTTTACATTTCAAGCACTTTATTATTCTGCCCTTTA